CCTTTTCCAGGATAAAGTAGGTAGCCTAACTCATTTAGTATTACGTACTCAGTTGCTCTGAAGACGGATTAAGTCAATTTTTAAGTTGGTCGCGATTTCGCCCACGTATAATTAAAGAAATAGCAAAAACATAGCCTATGTTACTCGGTGATAACATAGCTTTTTAATCTTGCAAGAATTCTTAAAATCGGTCTAGTAGTTTTTGAGTTATTTCCTTACATACAAAAATACATAATATAAATCTTTCCTCTCTATAATATTAAGTCACTTACAGATAAATTACCTTGCTAATGGTAGAAGAATTTTTGAAATCGACCCAGTAGTTTTTATGTGAATCGAATACACACAAAAATACAAATCTTTCCTCTTTATAAGATTAGCATAGGAAACGGGAGATAACGTTTTCGAGTTTTACTTTTTAATTCATCAGCCCGATTTTCATTATATTCCAATTTATAGTTTACAAGAAAAGAAAACGATCTTGTTTTAAAGACACTATTAAATAAACATTTTAATCAAATTCGCCATTACTTCCCGTAAAGGTAAAAGCTTTGAAAGTAAACATCCAATACTTTCATTTCTATGTACGATAAATTACGTAAAAACTTATTAAATTAACCGTCACTAGTAAGGCGTTAGATGTAATGACTGCCTTTAAGTGTACCATAACATTGCCTCGTCGGAACTGTGGTGCAGCAGGGGGTCCGAGACACCATGGGCAGTGTATTCGGTTACAGTCGAATATACTACCTAGTCTATGTCGAATAAGAATTTTGTGTAAAGAAAATCTATTATTTCGAATACGTATGAATGAAGATAGCAATGTTTTCTATAAGTTATAATTTTGTGACATCTTTTAGTTACCTTGTTTATTATTTCCTTAAGAACAATTTTTGGTTGTTATGTTTGTTGGTTTACATTTAATAAAATTAGGTTTCATTCTCGCTTCATCACAACTATACTGTACTTCGACAAATAAATAATTTTTTTTTTCAAAATTTTACTTGCTCACCAACTTTACGGGCCGTGTGTATAAATATCTTCAGCGCTAGTAAAATGTTTACATTCATCACCCAACAAGTTACTATTATAGTCGTTATTGTTAGTCTGGCTGTATAATCGCTTTCAATTAATAAAAACAATTATATTAAAAGGCCACTGTCCTGTGCCAGACTTTGCTTGTATTTATTATGAAGATACACACGTACACATTAGTTTAAATTTTAGTTCTTGTTTTTATCTATACTATTATAATAAAACGTAAACACACACTTCTTTGTTGCCTAAGATGTCAGCAATTATAGCATATTTTTGAATAATTCTTTTTTTAATAAAAAGCCCTACACTTACGTCATGCTTTAGACTATGTATTTTCACGCCATTAAACATAGGGGGTTAATATTTTGGATAAAAACCTAAATGTGGAAATGAGACCATAAGTTGCTGCCAACATCCAGAAAGCAAAATTTCCATAGTTAGGTAATTGGTATTATGACATTTGTAATTGATTATTTGACACATGTAGACTATAAAATAACATTTTCATAAGTTTATGCGGATAAAGTCGCAGGGCGACAGCTAGTTTTTGGTAAAGTCTACATCATTTTATTTTATTTTATTTCTTTATATGTGTAAACTGTTATGCGAGCATTTACTAGCTTTGTTTTCGCACTAATATTTACTAAATGACTAAACCATAAGAGAAAGCTTTAACAAAATTTATTTCTATTTATGATTTTAGAGTCGGTTACCATTGTTGGTATAGCCTTATGACAATATATTGTTAGCTCTCTCATTATATCTACAAAAACTGAGACAATAATATGTTTATGTTTTGCTGTTTCGCCAGTCGAATCGTTTGTAACCTGTTTCATTTGAATACGTTTGTGCCACGCACTTTGGTTAGCTAACAAAATTTAACTAATTACGATTAATTGCTCAATAAATTTTATGTTAATATTTTGACTAATATTATCTCTCTCTATCAGAGGAAGCGGTCGGTGCACAGCGGGTGTCTAATATTAGTGAATCACAATTAATAAGACGTAATATGTATGCATTTCTTTAATTATTAATAATATTTTTTATTAATAGTAACATAAATGTGATTAGTTATGGTTTAGGACTTCGGGTGTTATGGTTTACATATTGTTATTATCTTTGATAATTAATAATTGAAATCTTATTATTAATAATTTAATAATGTTATCTTACTAATATTATAAGTGCAAAGAAGAAAAGAGTTATGGGAAACGACTAGTACGCGTACACAGTTTCCTATACATTCTCAAAAATATGTACTATTTATTAATATTTTACCCAAATTGTTGCATCGTCCAGTCCTAAATAATGGTATGGTAACATTCATCTTAAATAATCAATTTGTAATTAAATGTTAAATTATTGACATTTAGAAAAAGATAACAATAAAAAAAATCTGTTAGCTTTGCATTTAGTTAGTTTCCCTCGTGAATTATATTGAAAGAAACATCGATGTAATTTATTCAGGTTTTAAAGATTAGGGATCAAAGTCGTAGGTAAAGCGACGTTCATTTGCATTGAAGGGAACATAAATTGACTTTAATCAGCGTAACGTCTGCCTAGCGGATAACATTCAAGATCGCTTTGTATGGAGTGAAGGGTTTATGTAAACAATGGCTAAGGGTTGCCAAAAGACTTAAAGGAGATGACTCTCACGCTATTCGGCTGTAATCGATTGAATTTAAATGTACAATTGGAATCGAATTGTCATTCTTATTTTGTAGACTTCATTTGTTTTTTGTCTAAAAATTGATCGTCGTTTTTAATGGATTTGTATTTATATCTTTTGTTACTGGCCACGATTATACAAATATTGGTTGTTGGTATTTGTTAGTTTCATTATGATCATTTCGTAATACCTTATTTGAATTTGCATACACATTTTTCTTTTGTCAAACATTTGTACCAACCTTCCAATGCCACTTTCACATAATCTCACTGTGACCGATCGGCGACGTCTATTTATTACCCGAATCAAAATTAGTTATTTAGACATTAATATATGCAATCTATTTGGACACGCTATCAATTTGTATAAGCGATGTTTGTCCTACATTATGCGATATCAGCGGACTTTTGAATGGTGTATGACAAAACGCGGCTTAAGTTACCGGCATTTTAGATTTTATCCATACAATTGCAAGTTTACAAGCTTGTTACTTAAAATATATCTTCCATCTATACATATAATAAAATTAGAGTGTCTGTTTGTAATATTAAAAGAAAATTTCTAGATTTCGGGAAGTTGATATATTTGCGTTGCTGATAACAAAAATCGCATTCTTTCAATTCATTCGCAAAAATTTTTGTCTGTCTGTCTGTCCGCAAGCCGCATTTGTTCCGGGTAAACTCCGCAACGGCTGGGCCGATTTCGACGGGACTTTCACTGAATAAATTCCACTAAAAGAAACTAAAAATACAACTGTTTTTTTGGTTAGATAGATGTCATACGAAAGATGTAATGCATATTTATCGTATTAAAATCCATTTTAAACATGGTTTTTAATTTTAATTAAATACTTATTCACCGCTATTCGTTTTTCCGTTATCAATATTGACAGTACAAAAAAGAGCAAAAATATATTGCAGAAATCGGAAATAAACTTCCTCGTTGTTAATTTTAATACTATCCGTCTCTTTTCAATTCACTTGTCTGTTATTTCTGTCTCTGTCTTGAGTATTTCCTGGTCGGATATAGGCTTCCTTCCTACATCGCAGGATGGGATTTGTTAGAAACGTATGGATATGACTTAGTTTAATTTCGTACATTTTAAAACAAATGCATTTTAAAAGTCAACAGATTAAAACCAGATGACGTAACGGATCTAAAATAAAAAAAATCTCTCACTAATGTTTCAACGCATCATCAATTACTGATAGACTTATACCGGGTTTCTGAAGTTTTCATATATTTTATCGTTATTTAGTGATTAGTGTTAAGTTGAACTGGGTTTCAGAAACGCATTACATGTTGTCGAATGGTTAATTGTAACTGGGAAACCTGTCATATTAGCTACCAAAGAACTAGTAAGCATGTGTAAGTGGCGTTGACAATTATAATTGTCAATTAGAAACTGGCCGAGGATAATCGAATGAGAAGGTAATCAAAAAAAGCTGTTCCAATAAGCGGTACGGATATTAAAACAAACAGACTAGTTGGAAAGCGGTGATCTTGAATTTTTATCGGTAATAGGCTACCATATATAGCACTCGTGGTTTCTCCTAATTAAAAGCAATTTATAACGTTTCTTTTATACTGACTAATTTCCCGTGATACTAAAAGGAACAGTCGCTTAACGTTCGCATTAAAAAGCATTCGTTTTCTAAACTAATTTGTTACTTTCACTTTAATCGATAATATGTACTATGATAATGATATATTTTGCTATTGACTAAAGTGTTTCCATTATTGGACCAAGCGTAATAGATAATTCTTTACCAATATCAAAACTATTAAAATCAGATTCAATATAAGTGTGAGTTAAAAACATCAAACATCAGACGATCATAATAAATTGATGTTATTATATTAAATCAAATTATAAAAAAAAAAACATTTTGTTTCAAATTATAAAAAAAAAACATTTGTCAAATTATGAATTACCAATATCAAAATGACATATGATGTCAAACCATGGCAACCTTGCTTCATTGATGTTGGCAATAACTTATGGTCTCTTTCCCACATTAGGGTTTTTATCCAAAATATTTACTCCTAAGTTTAACGGCGTGAAAATATATAGCCTAAAGCATGACGTAAGTGTAGGGCTTTGTATTAAAAAAAGAGTTATTCGAAAATATGCTGTGATTGCTGACATCTTAGGCAACAAAAAAGTGTGTGTTTATGCTTTATTATATAAGTATAGATTAAAATAACTATTGTAAATTATAATAACTTAGATTACTTCATTGTTAAAACTTCAAAGATATTAATCCAGTTTGTATTTACTTATTTCCAGGTATGTCGAAAAACTTCAACGGTAAGCTACGGGATTATTCACCAAAAACATCTGCCTGCGGGCGGATCTTTAGGCCATCGGATCAATTGACCCACATTTTACACCTTCCAACTTATAAAAAAAGATACGGCCTTGAACAAAAAAGGTAACCTTACTTTTATATCCTACAGTCCCGATCTTTCTTTAGTCTTATCCATACAATTCTTATTAGCCCTAACTGCCTTGACGGGACATCGTAATTTAAGCTTTATTTCTTTCGTCAAGTAAGTTCAAATTTATTTGTTCCTTTATTTGCTTATAAAGAAACATGTGTTAAGGGATCATGAGGCGCCACAGGCACGCGTAGGAACCATCTGCCTTCCCAATTAAGACCTTTTGATAGAGGGGCCGTTTTACACAGTTGTTTTTACTTTATTTTTGTAATAATAGAATTTCTGTGGTGAGGAATGTTCATTCAGATAGGAATCTTTTATCTTATTGACATCAAACATGCGCAATAAGAGAAAGACATGCAAGTTCCACGAAAGAAACAACATAAGAAAAACAAAATGCGTTCATGTACTTCAAAGTTTTGAAATTAAATTTACCTCTATTTCCGTGTTCATATTTTCATTCATCACCAGCCCACTATACGTCTTCATTGAAGGGCTCTGAGCCTATCCTAAGTTAGTAATTAGGCCATAGTCAACGCAGGCCCACGGATTGGTTGACTTCACACATGAATTTCTTAGCCGATATGTGCAGGTTGCATCGTGGTATTTTTGTGCTATCGAGTCACTTTATTTATACAGCAGCTGTTACTGGTCTTTTGATAAAAATATGTACACCTTCGTTACTATTAAATAAAAAAAATGCAACTTCGGCAGATGTTACTTTTTCTGCAATACGTTATTAACTCGTGTAAGATCGGTGACTACGATAATGGGTACTTGCCTGCGTTATTGATAAAGTTCACAGCTGCACTCTACAGTTGGCCAGAGGCCATCTGCTTTTGGTCGTGAAACTTTTAAATGATCGATCCATGTTATTTGTTTAACGCGACTCAACGACTTCATAATTGCGCCGGTTCACATGAAAGTTATAATCCGACCCATTGTGGTTTCTTGACGTTTTAACATGCCTTGGAAATTGGGTATACAAGATAATTCATGCAATTTATGAGATACTAGGTGTTGCTTGCGACTTCATCCGCATGAAAAGTAATAAACAATATAGTCTGTGTTATTCACTTCTAACGTAGCTGTTTAATTATGAAAAAAATATTGAAATCGGCCCAGTAATGTTAGAGTTATTTCAATACATACAAAAATACAAATCTTTTCTCTTTAAAATATTAATATTGATATGGATAAGAATATCTTTTACAGAGTTTTCTTGTATCTTATTTTTAGACTAACATTTTTGATTTGGGAAAATGCTTTCTTTGACAAACATTATTCTCTATTAGCTAAATTTCTTGAGTTCAACATACTATTAACAACATACAATCAAAAATTGATATGAACGCTTTAATCAGACATATACCTTATAAAATATTAACAACAATCGGAAGATTTTACGTTTTTTTTTTTTATTATTCTTTTATTTATTTGTTTTTTTATTTTTTTATTTTTTTATTCGTTTCCAAATTATTATTCGGTTGTTGTGTTACTATTTCTCGTATACTTGTTTTTCATTATTTCCGCATATAAATTAAACACGCCTTTTACAGTATAGATATTAGTGTATAGTTATTATTCACTTTTTTGCTTTATTTTATTTTCCCTCTCTTTTCCATTTCACTTATAAACATGACTATAATTTTTTTTTTTATTTATTAATTGCTGCAACTGACGTACTGCCACAAAAGGCTTTTACAGAATACCAGCGCTTATTGCTATACTGTAATAAGCACATAGCTGAGTAAAGGCCCTATCCATTCAGCATAGCAAACTTAGTTAAAAAAAAAAAAATATATTGAAAGTTATGATATTTTTGATTGATGCTTATTATTGTGTATTTGTATATATTTTGTTGTTGTTTGTAAAACTTTCGTTTCCTCCGTCATTATTTTTGTCAACTGTGTAATTAAGTGTATGATGTTTGCCTTCTGAATGGATTAAATGACTTATTATTATTATTATTATTATTATTATTATTAACAATATGCTTTTGCATATGAATAGTTTTGAATTATTCAAGAGGTCATCGTCTAATGAAGTTCCGTTATGGTAATGTAACAATTACAATGAACAGAATGTATTCGTTTTTGAAAACGAAATATTTGTTCCACGGACTAGTTTTTTTTGATAATTATATAAATACGAAGTTACTGGGAATATGAAAGTATCAGGTTAATCTTTTTAATAATACAAGAGTTACAAACAATATAAATTTAAAACTTAACATTCTGTGCGGAAGCCAGCACTATCTTTCATAAACAATGGACAACTAGCAATCAAAAACCTAGTATTAGAGTTCACATAGTGTGAAGTTCTTAGAAACGGTCGTGGTACAAAATTAACCTAATTCGAGGCAAGAACAATGACAACGTCTACGTGTCTGTGCTCTCTTGCCTTTTGTCTTCAGACGGATCACCGAGGCGTGTCCACAATGTATACGCACATCACTAACATGCGTTTCAACATGCATCAGCGTACTATCGTTGTGTCGAACAAATTAAATCGCTGTGCGGTCGAGTCGTACGATACCGGCGCGTGGGCAACACAATATCGATCCTGTAGTGTTGTACTTATTTAAGTTTCATAATTTATAGATATCGATATCGATATGCTTTATATTTTAATTAGCACTAATAATGAATTTTGAAAGTAAATATTATAATGTTGTGCATTTTTTTTAAATAATAGATTAGTTTGGAATTAATTAAGCCTTTGATAAAAGAAGACTTAAGTTGACAACTGACACAGGCAATTTTATTTTACCATCGCTTTACAGCCTACTTTAATTTACTATTTCTTGTCCTGGCTACTTTACTATAAGTTGTTTCTTCGATTCTTTTACCCATTACTCCTGTTATACATTTTTATTTTAAATTACTTTTAAATATAAACAATATGCAATCCAAAGTTTCATCAATACCGCCAGTTCCAAAATCATTAACATTTTATCGATACTCTGACAAACACAGCCAATATTGATTTACGGCAAAATTAAAATGTACCTAACATTTACATTTTGCTTTACTTCCTTTGCCCCACTCACTTTTATGTCGCATACAAAATTTGAAAACGGTAAAATTGGCAAAATGTCGATAACTTTATCGACATCACTATTAAAATTGGATTTTATGCTACAAATAAAATACGATGACTTCACGGGTATACTCATTACTGGAATTGTTAAAATTTTGTAAGAACTATGTAATAACATCTATAGATTTAATGATACCTTTGCGAGTGATTTATCATTTATTGGTCTTCATTAATAAATCAATATGGATATTTTATCACATACACTCAAGAGCAATGAATCCGGGTCACTAAAAAAACTTTCAATCTCGTAAACTAAAAATACTAGATTAATATATTATTATATGAAAAAAAAAACAGTGTTTAAAAGATTATATTAGACCACTAAAATTAAAATAATAACATTTATAAGTCACTACATTCCTGATTTACGAGATCTTAGGTATTTTTAAATGACCCAGATTCAATGCTCTTGAGTATATTTTATATTTGTCATTTGAATTATTCAGCCAGATATTTTCTATGTGTATTTTCAAAAGGGTTTGAAATATTTTCACTTTCCCATAACAAAACAAACATAATAAATGTAGTTTATTACAATGCAAATCTCTGAAATCTCGTACATTACGTATTCTGTTGTGGAGCGTTTGCACGCGGGTGTCGCGGATACAAGCGTGGGTGCTAGTTACTTATTACAAACGAGCACATTGACGTGCAGTAAGTTATAAGTATTATACAAGTTACTACGAGTATGTCTTCATAATTTTATAATAATACCAGCTGCGTTTTAATAATGCCAAATAAAAAATATATCTTATGTTACTCACAGATAAATTACCTTTCTAACAGTGAAATAATTTTAAAAATCGTCCTAGTATTTTTTGAGTTATTCCAATACATACAAAAATACAAAAATATAAATCTTTCCTCTGTATATGCATAGATATATGTAGATAATATACAGTTACTTTTGTACTAATTACATTATTATTGAGATACCAATGCCGAATGAAGTGTATTATTGAATTCTTATTTAAAATCAAATTGAGCAGTCCTGTCTATCTTTTTTTTTATTCTTTACACAGGAATACGCCGCCCACAATTTGTTTTTGTCCTAAACTGCATAGAGGTCGACGTTATGCCAGCTCTATACTTTATTGCCACCGACCGTCTTATCATGATACCTTACAGGTATAAGTAATCGCCTTTATGCTTTCAACTCTATTATACAACGCATGGAGCTTGGATTTATTTACATACAAGGTCTTGGATTTACTTACATATGTCACAGGTATGATTCCAGGGAGATACCTGTAGAGCGGGCGCACATATTTAAATATACTATCACACGACTGTTGTGCGATTGTCAATTGTTTCGCAGCCAATTCAACTGCTAGGCTACTAACACACTATCGCTAAAACAAACCGGAACTGAAGCAAAACCAAAATCGATTCACCATTTTTATTGGTTTGTATTTAAGAACTAGCTTTTCCCGTGCGGCTTTATCCGCATGAAATTATGAAAATTGTATTTTGTTGTTTACATTTGTCAAATTATCAATAGCAAATGTGAAAATTACATGACATGACAAACCTTGGCAATCTTGCTTCCTTGATGTTGGCAGCAACTTATGGTCTCTTTCCCATATTAGTGTTTTATTCAAATTATTTACCCCCTAAGTTTAATAGCGCGAAAATATATAGCCTAAAGCGTGACGTAAGTGTAGGGCTTTTTATTAAATAAAAAATTGTTCAAAAATATGCTGTAATTGCTGACATCTTAGGCAACAAAGAAGTGTGTTTTTACGCTTTATTATAATACTATAGATG